ATATAAATACCTGGAGTGAAATAATCACCTCTGTTTCTCTCCATATCCTCTATGAGAACAAAAATTATTTAATAATTAGTTCCTCCTTTTAATTAAAATATAAATTTAAATCTGAGATATAAATACCTGGAGTGAAATAATCACCTCTGTTTCTCTCCATATCCTCTATGAGAACAAAAATTATTTAATAATTAGTTCCTCCTTTTAATTAAAATATAAATTTAAATCTGAGATATAAATACCTGGAGTGAAATAATCGCCACTGTTTCTCTCCATGTCCTCTATGAGAACAAAAATTATTCAAAAAGGAAATGAGTCTTTGTCACAAGCTCTGATTTTCTAATCACTATATCTTTGGAACCAAATGTTGTAGACCTTAGATATTTCAAACTATGAATTCTGTTAAATCAAATAATCAGAGTTTGAAATATCAAAGGTTTAAAACATCGGGTTCTAAAGATATTGGGGTTTAAATATTTGATTTTGTTACAAAGATTCAATTCCTTAGTTCCTCCTTTTCATTAAAATAAAAATATAAAATCTGAGATTTAAATACCTGGGGTGAAATAATCGCCTCTATTATTACTTCCTACAAAACAATCTTTTAAATAATAAAGTTTTTTGCTCATATATATATATATGCGTTGTTCAAAGAATTTTGACTACTATTATAGTCGTGAGGCTTGAAACATTATGTTTAGTATAATTCTTTTTTAATAAAATGTGAGGTTTAAATACTGAAATATATACATATACATATATATACATATATATGTATATGTTAGCTATGGCTGGATTAAAATGGAATATGTTTATTAATAAGCTCTATGGGTTTTCCGGAGATGACATTCAAAAGTGTTTTTGAAATTCCAGGGGCAATGTCTAGCACTTGTACTAGTTATTCAGAAACAGCTAAACTCTTAATATTGTTTTCTTTTATTACATTTTTTTGAATACACAGAGGCCTATAAGTGTGCACTAAAGCATATACTGGTAACCAGGCAGTATCTATGAAGACCCTGCAATATATACACCAGTTCTAAAATCGTCTTCTTGGGCTCAAACTTCTGCATGAGTGCCAATTGGCCATGTTCGACTTTATCATTATTCAGTAAAATAGACAATAGAAAAAAATAAACATTGACTAGGAACTGCCATATCTAATACGTCAAAGTTGTGCACTGCATTGGGAGGAGATTAAAACAAAGAATCCAGGGGCAAAATATCAATTATGTGTGGTGTATGGGGACTTCTCTATAAAAATGAATTTTTATTTTTCAAAACCAATAAACTTTCATTTTAAAATGTATGTATTTCATAAAAAAGATACAGTTGACAACAATTGTAAATGATAGTTAATAAATGTAAATGTCCTAGTATACGATTTTTGGACCCCCCCCCAGCCCTCTAGGAAATTACCAAACTACAAATAAAAAAAATCCTTACCTATTTTTAATTTAAGAAATGATTCTTTTAAAAATTATCGGTGAGTTTGCATACCTTCATTTGTATATCCCCTTCTGTTATTTTCCCCTTTGTCTGAAACAGATCGAATGTATTAAAGATGATCAATTTGTACATTTTACTATTGATATAAAAGAAAATCAGTTTCAATGGTATTAAAAGTGAAAGAAATCCAATTTGTAAGTTGAATTATCTAGGTAATAAAACAAGACATTCGTATATGTATATGTTGCCTATAGCCGGCCAAAAGGCTTGACTGAAGGGGCTGAAACATTTTGTGGACACTCATGGGCGGCCGGGGGGTGTTATAGGCTAAAAGAATCGAACGTTTTTTTTTCTCAACATTTTTTTCCATAGGCAACGTCGGGCGGTTTAGCTAGTTTTTTATATTTCTTTGTTTTGAATTAGATTTTATTGTTAAACATCGCAACAGTTTTAGAAGCAAGACTACAAACTTCAAAATTTGGAGACAAAATATTCTTACCTTCAGTAGATTCCTCAGATTCATCAAGATGGAAGTGAACATTAATTGTATCCAAAGGTTTAGGAGCAGGTTCACAAATGCAAACCTTAAAAAGAAGATTTAAATCAGTTGTTTTGAGCTCATCAGGGCACACTAAACTAAGCTAGTGGGGTAGGTAAAATAAGCCTATGACAGGCAGGGTACTGTAAAAGGTCTGGCCGGGCCATCAATGTTGACACAGAGCCAGCATAGGATAGAGTCAGGCCTGTACTTGCCAAGCATCACTAAGGCTGGTACAAGCAGTCGATCCGGTTAGAATTCAAATTGACCCTAATCTACACTGAGAGAAGTCAAGAATTTGCCAGAGAAATATTCAGTTCATTAATGCTGAAGTCAGAATTCTTGTGTTTTAAAATTCAGGATCATGCATTGAACTCCATATGCAGACCTATAGATTAATTGTTTTCCTCTTTGAATTCCAGTGGTAGTCATGCCCTGCAGAGATAAGTTCAATTGAGGGATTAAGCATTTTTGGAATAAGAATAATTTTGTCTTATTTTAAAAAAATTCCTCTGTTCTTTTAAGCAAATTCATTTTTGCAAAATTCTATAAAAATTTAGATGATAGGAGCTGCAAATATTTTGTTTTACTAGATCTCCATTTTCTTGAATTTTGAAAAGGAAAGAATTTTTTTTGTGATTCCGCGATTCTTGTCGAGCTTGCAAGTTCCAGTACTAGCCTTAACAAGAGGCCTGGGTTTCTTTTCTTCTAAATTCTGTATTGAGTATTCTGTTATTGGGTGTCCTGTTGCACTGCTGACACATGTTCTTGGTAGTTGTCCCTTTCCACCATATTCTCTGACTAGGGTGGAAGGAAATGCAGGGGGGAGCATCCCCTTCAACTCCAGACTTGTCTTTTTCCTCCTTGTTTTCTTTCTTCTTTTCTGCTCAATATCTCCTCTCCGAGTCCTACGAGTGGGTCTTGGTGACATCAAGTTATAGAACGGTAAAGGATAAGAATTAAGGAGTGTTTAGAAAGAAGGGCAGTGAGTAATTTTTATAGAGAATTCCGTCAACAGTAGTCCAGCAGCCAGCAGAGTATAAATGGGTATCATTGTCCAATGTGCATGGCTCACTAGCTTTTATGGATTTTTCACTTTTGAATTTTTCTTTTAAAACCTAATTAAACTGTATGATTGACAGGCTTTAAACAACAAACATTTTTTTGTATTTCTTGGTATTTTCTACCTGCAGTAAACAAAGTCGAAATAAAAAACATTTCATCATGTCTTACTTTTGAACATTGCAAACTTTTAAGCTTTATATGAAGCCAAAGTTAGAAAAGAAGTTTGATATTAATGAACCTGTAGGAAACCAGCAAGGAATATGATTTGAACAAACACCATTTTTGAACTAAAATAATCTGAAGTACCAAGTTTAAACATCAAGTTTTATCACAAAAATCAGTTGATAATTAAAAACACTTTAATTAGGCTGGGAAAAAAATTTAAGTGATTTCATTGTTTTTAATTTTTGAAACTTTAACAATAAACATGAATATTAAAAGCAGAGCAATGTTAGAAAATAAAAAAACTCGAAGCACAAATTATATTTACTTGGAGCAAAAAGCAACTTATGCAGATGTGACAATTGTGTTATATTCTAAAATTGTACATATGCTTTTTAAGTTTTTAAATCACACCTATATGAATTTGATACAGGATAACCAGATAACCAGGATAACCAGTCGATTTTTAGATTCTTATTGTTACTCTTTAAGCATTTAAACTATCAAGAAAGAACGAAAAAAGCTTTTTTTGCGCAATTAATTGTTGCAGCTATGGTTTTTGCAAAATTTTTTTGGAAAAATTTTGTAAAACCAATTTTCCCATTTTTTCACGTAATTTGTTTTCGCTATTTCAGGTTTCTGTTCGCAAGCTTATTTTAGAACTTAACTTTTTGTTTCTTAAACTTACTTCTTGTTAACGATATCTATTTATTAACGGAAATATTTTAGGAATTGTTAAAAGTACCATTTATAAGTTGTATAAAGGGCTGTAAGCGATAACATTTTAATTGACTATCCATTGCAAAGATGGCAATTGCCAATTCACAATGGTACCCTTGAAACTTTTATGTGATCAATAATATGGAAGATATGCAAACTTAATTCATGTTCATTGCAATCTGAGCTTAACTGGTTACTGAACTGACCTATATGGCCCTAGTTTGTACTGCCATGCCCTGTACACCAACTACACTGGCAGACAACGGCAGGTTGACCCAGTAGATCCAGTTCTGTTGGCAGGGCAAGCTAGTGCAGGTCTGACTTTAAGCTGCATCTAGGAGGAAATTACAATCACCAAAGCAGCAATTTTGCGTGTAAGGGTGTAGAAAATGCCCTACTCCTAAAGGTTTCCCAAACTGTATCTAACCAGTTACAACTCAGTTTCATTTTACTATCAATGTCAAAACCTGGATATGTTCTTGTGAACTATCAATGCCAAACATAGCTAGCTATTAACAATGTAGATAATTAATAATATACAACATTATTAACATAATTAGGGTATACAGATCTGGTGTTATGCGATGTTTATTAGAAGGGGAATATATGTTCATTATCAAGGCTGCGCTATTTATCAGGGTCCCTGAAATGGGTAAGGAAAACAATTGTAATAAATACAGTGTCAAGTCCCATAGTTACCTAGATAAAATAAGTTGTAAATTGTCCCTAAACCTAACTGCACTTGTCAGTAAATATGCAAATCCTGTATTTTGATTAACCAAACCCAGATACCTATATAGAACTTTGTCGAAACCATAATGTGATTAGCGTAAAGATTAATTGTTTCTCATTTAGTGAATGAGAAACCCCAGTTTATGAAATCAGTCCAATTGAGACATTGATAGTTGATACGATTTTGTCCGAGTTGAGGCATTGATAGTGTACAAGATTGTCTCCAAGTTGAGGCATTGATAGTTTATAAGATCGTGTCCGGTTTGACATTGATAGTAAAGTGACATTGAGTTTTACCTGGATTGATACAGGTTAGAGAACATTGAGTTATACCTGGATTGATACGGGTTTGAGAAACCCTTATGGAGTAGGGCGTTTACTACACAAGAACATAAAAATAAAGCTGTTGTTCAACAAGAAGAAGATATTTATTCAGCGAGTTTTCCTGTTTACATTTTTTGCTTTATGTAAATTATCAAACTTGCTGTAAATTCTTCTTAAATGCATGTGAATTGAAAAATGTTTGATATAATTAAATGTTAACAGGCAGAAATGTTTTGATTCCCTGTTTATGTGTTTACATTTTTCTCTGAATTTTATGTTGGGAGTAATTGTTTAATCCTAATATTTCACTTATTTCAGTTCAACATGGGATCTGTTCGAATTGTTTTCCTTGCTCTTTTCTTGCAGGTTTAATCTATCTATAAATTTGGCTTGTCTGTCTGTTTGTCTGTTTGTTTGTTTGTTTGTAACCAATAAACTTCAAAACGGCTGAACCGATCGGGCCCAAATTTTTTGTGGGACATCACGTGACCACAGGGAAGGATTATGAATGATCAAAATTTCAAATATTTGTCTCCATCAAAATTCGATCTTCATTAAATTTTTGAAAATTTTGAAAATCTACGAAATTTTTTGTGAAAATCCGCAAATTATTTTTGTTTTGTTTTACGATGTACACAAAGAGAACATGTTCACAATTAATTTAGAAGATGGGCGCAAAGCGCCCTATAAGGCTAGTATTAATATACTTTTTTTAAATTAAACTTTAAGAATGTGAATAATTAAGGCCAGCATTAAAGGTAGAAAAAGCCCTCTGAACCCCTCCTCTCTTAGTACTGAAACTTATAATTTAAAAAAAACTGAAGTGAGTCGAAAGGAACTGGAACACTTGCCAAAAATTCTAATTTTTGCAACTTGGTGTTGCAGGCCTTAAGATATTTAACATATAGACAAAAATATATTACGGATAAAAAGTTTTTGGGAAGTGTTAAGTTTGTTTCTTCTATTCTCATTTAATTAAGGATAAAACCTGAAAAGTTTGATACTTTTGTGGATTACAATATTACTTTAATGTTTAATTACAAAATGTAACAAAGTTTTATTAAAAAGTTAAGATATAAGGTTTTTTATAAATGAAATGGTTTCGCACATTCCTTGTACTGCTTAGATCAGTTGACAGTGCATGCCTCTCAGAACTTTGTGCATTTTGCAATAAGGTGCCCAAAATTTTAGGTCCACAGCTCTTGCAAAATAAGATATAATCGCCCCTAAGGTTTCAAAATCTGCTTAGAAAAGGCCAACACATTATCATGTTACATATCAAATTTCTTAGTTTTTGATAAAGAAATTTGATTCAGTTAAAATGTTGAGGTAACAAGAATAAAACAAAATTGTGCATTTTTTGAGATTTTTTACCATTACCTGGTCAAAATTTCAATTTCCTGGGCAATTTAAGAAAATGGTAAATCAAATGATGAAATCAAGAAAAGAATTGTTAAGCTATGTATGGCATTTATACATCAGCAGCGATTTTATCCTATAGCTCTGAAGATATTCAGATTAGTGCTCCCGGTACATATATTATGGAAAAGTGAACGCTACCATGCTACATCTATTAAATTGATCATACGCGGACAGATTTCAGAGGTGTACACATTTTTTGTACTGCAGTGTTCTGTCTTTGGGAGGAAAAGTAAACACAAGACGGATGTCACAGAGCTGGCATGGAATTCAATTTTTACAAAAATAATCTATAAAATATTCTGGTTATAGGAAACTATAATTATGTGAATTTTCAAAATTATTAAAATTAAATTTGTTTAACCTCCTCGGATACTAAACGAACACTGATGCACCCATTCTTGTTTACAAATTTCGCCGAGAGAGAACTGGGTTTAATATGTACGCAGAGTATACGCGACCACAATTAACTTTCCTTGCATTAGTACCTTGGTCACTGTTAAGTCCGGTTCATTTCGTAAACCGGACCGTCATCTAACCAGACAGAGCAGTGTACAGCACATATACAAATTATACCAGACAAAATGGGACGGTGCACCAAATGAGCCAGCCCCTTCTAGGAAAAAGCAGTTTTCATCTGATTTGTAAAAATTTCAGGTGTGCATTGGGGACCCTGCACCCAAACCTCTTGATACTGTAAATGTTCACTTTCATTTAAATGATGATTCTTCAGAGTCTGAATCTATGGAACGTAAGAATTTTGTATTTTTAAACGTTATTTTAATTAATTTGCCCTGAGAGAAAAACTTTAGAATTATGAATATTGAGATCAATGCTTGATCCCCACTATTTATTATTCTCAAGGAGGCTAGTTTAATCTTTAGTTTCTATTATGAAAAGTGTGTAAATCAACCAATAGAGTGGCGTATGCCAAATCCAGAAAAGCCAATTTTGAAATTTTACGCGCCAACTAATAAGAGAACTCTCATTGGTTGGAATCTTGGAGGGATATAAAAAAGAGAGAAAAAGAGAGGATTAAGAAGGAAATTTAAAGTGTCAAAATTGGATTAATCCATCGGGATTAAGTGTATCCAATTCCATAGTTCCCAGCTCTGGACACCAGAAGAAGATTGAAACAGAAATAATTTTTATTTGTTTTAGATGGAGGTAACAGACGCGGTTATACAAATGAAGGTTTGTAAACATTTATAATCTTTATTTGATGAAGATTTTAAAAACTCATTGGAAAATAAATATTTTATGATCTTAATGATAGTTATAAATTTTACCGCCCTTTGACAAACATTAACAACCAATGGGTCCCCCAACAGAGGGATGTTAAGTTACTTTGCGTCCCTTTGGACAATTAAGTAAAAAATACCTCATCTCTGAAGTTTTTGTGAAAAAATTTCCGGGAAATTAAAACTTTTTCTTTATCAAGTGTTCCCTTGACCACTTTTGCCTTGGTCTTGGTGTTAATTAATTCAAATATTGTATGAAGAGAAAACAATTACTTAACATGATTTTGCTGTAGGAAGCAACGATGGAGGTGACTATACAGGTAACTTGATTTTTTAATTAAATGAAAAAATTGAAATCATTTCACATTTTTCATTTATTCAAATTTGTAATCTAAAACTTTATAAAAATCTTGTTTTTGAACACCCCCTATAAATAAATCATAAAAGAAAAGCAAAAAAATCTTTTCACTAGATATACAATGTCTAAATTATTTTTCAGAAACGGAAAATAGAATGAATAGAAGAATAAATAGAATGAACAGAATGAATAGAATGAATAGAATGTTTGAATTTGGATTCTCTGAAGGACAACAGTGTAACCCTATTCATAATGGACTCTCTCAGTCTGACAAGGATGCTATACTAGCTAAACACAATGAATTGAGAAGCAAGGTTGCTAATGGAAAACAATCTGGACAGCCCCCAGCCGCTAATATGAAAAAGATGGTCTGGAATGATAAATTAGCTAAAGAAGCTCAAAAGATTGCCAGCACATGTGTTTATGAACATAAAGATGTAACTGTTGGTGGAGCAGAGGCTGGGCAAAATCTTGCTGTTTCATCAACCTCAGAATCAGTAGGGAAATCAGATCTTAAACCATTCTGGGAATCTGAGGTTCAAAGCTGGTATGATGAGGTTACAGAGAACAATTTCAACAGCAGGAATATTAAGCCATTTTATTATGACCCCAATACTGGTCACTACACACAAGTTGTTTGGGCAGAAAGTTCCGAAGTTGGATGTGGAGGTGTGTTCTATGAAGAACCAAGAAAGAACAATGGATTGACAATGTACAGTGCATATCTTGTTTGCAACTACTTAGAGGCTGGTAATATGAGGGATGGATCCATGTATAAGGTTGGTAAGGCATGTAGTGCTTGCTCAGGCTCATGCAGTAATGGGCTTTGTGCTTAGCTAGAAATTATAAAAATTTAGAAAATGTAAACAAATAAATATTTATGAAATGAATAATACATTTTTATTTGTTGAATTTAAATTGTTAAAATAAATGTCATTTAGAGTTTTTGAGCTGGAATCGGAGTTGAGTTTTTTTTCACAGACTCTGATATTCTTATCCTTATATCTTTGCATTAGAATGTAGGAAACCTTAGATATTTCAAACTATGAATCATTTTAGATCAAATAATGATTGTTTGAAATATTAAAGGTTTACACAATCAGGTTGAAAAGATATGGCAAAAACTCAGTTCCTGTTCTCTGTCTAAATAAAATCATTGTACTTGCTTCGGTTGATAGTTTTGTAACTAGCAATCATGACTTTTATTCAAAAAATTAAAACTCTTTATTAACATTTATTTTTGAATTTGAATTTTAGCAACATTTTTTAAAGAGCAGTGCATTTATTCTAAGGTTGTTGTATCTTTTTTTAGCTGATCACACATCTGCTTTCTGTTCCTCTTTTGTAGATCTACATATTCTAATCCCTTCTAGACAAAGGAGATATGCATTTTGACACATATTCTGCTTTTGTTTCTACCTAAAATTACAAATATTTCCCAGAGCTGCAGTTAGCTCTCTTTTTGGCAGTTTATTTTTACTGTTTGGAGTGGATATTTTTAACAAAAGATTTCTTGATTCTAGTAAGATTCATCTTGGACATGATACACTTGTACATGGAACTGACATCTTGATGCTTACACTGACATAGAACCAGATTCAATCCAAAGAATTTGCGTCCAACAGGTTCGGATGCTTAATAACAGCTAACCAGGCTTGTTCGGATACTAACAGCTAACCAGGCTTGTTGTTCAGGGTTCGGATACTAACAGCTAACCAGGCTTGTTGTTCAGGGTAATACATTCGTTGAAAGTTGAATGCAGGCTTTCAATGTTGATTGTAGTTCTGTTTTTTTTTTCTTTTCCATTTGTGTGCAGACACCCCTGGCTAAAGTTCTCTAGTTAGCCAGTTTCTCTCTCTCACCCTGTATCTCTGAGTACTTTCAGAAGCGCCTAGCAAGACCTAGTTGTTGCTTCTCCGAAAGCTGAATGTACATTTTACACTCAATACTCAAATAGTTCCCTGCACTCCATTAAAAATATAGAGATATATTCACAATGTCTGTCTATTAAGCCAAAATTGTGCATTTATAATACTTAGTAAGTCTGTGGTCTAATTATCTATTTACTTCTCTCCAAAACACTAGATCTTGCATCTTTATTGGCAAATACAACGTTTTTTTTTTGTATTTTTTACGTCATCAGAAAGAAAGAGATTAAACTTAGATTTTCAAAAGTTTGAATATAGATTGATTAAATGATCTAGTAGACTAGTATAATCTTTTCTGATAGAAGTTCAGGAAAAAAACATTGAAAACATGAATGGTTTTAAATTTCAATTATACCAAATCAATTTCTTTTGATTAAATTTTCTTTAAAAAACTATTTGAAAGTAGGTATTTACCCAGCTTTGGATTTGGAGAGAAGGGAGGGGGAAAATCATTTTATATTTCTCAGAAATATAAAATAAACCAAAGCTCTTTTAACTTTCAATCAAAAAGACTTTAAAATTTTTTCACGGTTCAAAGGCTCTTTTCTTATTCATTTAAAAAGGCTTAAACATGTTTTTCAAGATTTACAGATTTTAAATATTTTTATTTGAAAAATATGTGACGGACACAAAATTCTGGGAATATTATGTCCGACCTGGAAATTTCATTTTTCATTTTTAAACTTTAATGATTAATTTTTAGTAATCTGGACAGAGCTGAGTTCCCAATTCAAATTATGAATTCAGCTAGATCAAAGAATAATTCAAAGTATCAAAGATTTACACTATCAGGTTCCAAAGATAAAGGACATGGAAAATTCGAGTTGGTGGCAATGACTTATTTTATTTATGTCACATTACTCATACAACATTGTGACCTTGTAGCTCCCTTGAAAACATTTGAAGATTTCAATAACAAGAAATTTACTTACTTATGCATGTATTGGTGTATGTATTTGTGTATTGGTTTATGTACGTATGTATTTATGCATGTTATGATTTTGTCACTTGTTCCTTTGGGTATTCTCGCATATCCGAGAAAATTTCACACAAAAATCCACAATTCAATATTTTCAGTGCACCCAGCAAATTATTGAAAATGATCAAATTCCCTAAATTCGGCCAAGTCATTTTTTCTGATATTGTGCATCTATATATATATATCTATATGTATAAAGTTGTAATCTCTATTTGTTTGTCTGTTTGCTTGTTTGTCCGATCATAAATCAGGAACCACTGGACCGATTTGCCTCAAATTTTAATTGGGGAATTGGGGAACTCGGGAGAACCACGGGAATGCTCTAAGCTAGGTATAGTTTGGTATGAGTACCCTGGGCAACACTGGGTTCTAAAGCTAGTATATCATAAGACTGTTGAATACTTTTCATGATTTATGTAATATATGTAGAAATATGTATTCAAAGAATTAAACATTAAACTATCACAGTAAAAGATATAAATCTGTGGGCAGGAAATAGGGCGGTACATTTAGACATATCCAGGCTATAATTCATAACTGAGATTTCTTCGTGTTAGAAGGCGTGTTTATAGCCTTTCCGTGTCAGGCGCAGGGGGGGGGGGGGGAGCCAACCACCACGATTTGAATATTTTTTGCATTTTTCGCTTATAAATCAAAAATAAATGTATTTTGAAAATTTCTGTTTGCATTCTTCTCAAACATTTCACTGGTGTCTAATAATTCTGATATTATATAAATATCATATGCTCTTACAGCAGTCAACAATATTCTCAAACTTAACATTTCTTTACATTTTTTATTTGTTATAATGTTTTTATGACTCATCAACGATGACAGACTGGTCCATATTTATCTAGCTACACAACCGTTTGTAAATGTTAAATACTTTGTTTCATGTTTGCCAGCTGAATTTTAATCATGAATATTAATATATATTTTCTAGAAGAGACAGAATATCAATATTTTATTCGAATAGTTGAAAACTTTGTTTGACATAGAACATTCTAGATTTTCCAGTAAAAAATGTGACGTCATCTGTGTTAAGTTCACACAGTACGCTCCTGGACACTACAATTTCACGGCTTTTTATACAGTATTTAAGAGATTTCTACGCTGAAATCTGTGTCTTTGATGATCAGTCAAAAGTTGAAAGGGTATCGTTGTGAATCTAGGATGTTCCTTTTTATTTACTTATTAGAAAGTTTATTTTTCGAAATTTTGTTTTAATGACTGACTTGTAAATTTGGTTTTATTATGTTTGTTATTGCAGAAAACATTAATGTTTTTCCATTAAACTTTAACCTTAGTTTAACCTAGAAATAAAGAGAATAGAATATATTAGCGTGGAATTTACTAGAAAGAAGTGTAAAACAGCCATTTTGTTGTGTTAACAAGCTGCAGGTGTACTTCACATATTTGTGCTTTATAACCTTTTGGGCCCTTAAATATCATTTTATAGAAAATTTAAAATTAATATTAAAAGAAAACCAAATTATGAAATAAGCTGGTTGCATAATTGACCAATGATCATTTCACATAGACTCTTTGCTTTTCACTTTACAATTTGATGATTTTCCGTTATAACTATAAATCAAATGATGTTTTTATTCACTTAATTCATCTTATAAAGTTTATTTAACAGCTTTAAAAAAAATTGAAATTGAAATGGATAGCCTACGGAACATACTGTATGAGTGTGCTTTGCTGCATATAATTTGTGAACATTTGCATGATTTCTACACTTTGAACTCCCCTTCAGGCTGAAAGGGACTGACAAAATTCATACCGAGGGATTGTTTAAATTCCACTCTAATATATATTCTATTCTCTTTGCCTAGAAATAATTGGAAACATGTCGAACACCAATAATTGGAAACATGTTGAACACCAGTATACAAACAAAAAATAACCTCGTTAAAATACCTGTTGGTAAACAATTAAATTAATAAGATTTTAAAAAGTTTCATGAAGTAAGGAAAAAAGAAAATAAAGAAAACTCTAAAAGAGAGAAAAGAATTGAAAAACAGATTTTTAGACAGTTTTTAAATGTTGATCTAATCAGGGGCGAAAAATGTAGAGGCTGAGGGTCATAAAAAACCCACTCTTTATGTGTTCTCCTGTACGCCCCTGATTCGAATACCCACAAAGGACGAGATATCAAAAACGACTGTTCGGATTTTATACTGTTTGTTTCCTTATATTCATGAATCCCTGCAAACATGAATTTCAAGTCGTCTATACAGTCTTATCCTTTTTCAGGTAACCGTATGCAAATACTTCCTTTAAAGTAAGAAAAGAGGAGCTAATTAAGTAACAAAAGAGGCGTAATTAAGTATATGGAAGGAAAGATTTGTGGCAACTTGCACTCAAAGATTTAACTACGGGAGGGGGGGGGGGGAATGGGAGAGTAAAATCGGGAGGGGGGGGGGGAAAATTGTTGACCATTTATCTTCCATTGTTATTGTAAATGCCCTCCTCCCCCCCTGGATTCAATATATAGAAGTCCACTGCATGGTAACTTGAACGACCGTAGTTTAAATGAGTTGAATTGTCCCAAAACTATAACACACTGTACTGTCCTTTAATTATACATTTACTCTATTTATTTCAATAACAACAAAAACAGCACAAGCGCGGCAACAAACCTTCAACAAAATCATTTAAGCATCGTAATTTTCACAAACAAGGGAATTGAGCTCAAGTTTTTTAATCCGTACTATAAACATGATAAACCTTCGATATTTAAAAAATGAAAGATTTGGTCTAATAGAATTGATAGTTTATCTAAGATCTCCGACATTGGGTTGCGAAGATATTGGGATTTGAAAATCAGAGTTTGTTGCACTCTGACGCCTTCCTTTTGATTCGTCACCACAAGTAAGCAAGTATGTAAGTAAATCTAAGCTGTATTCACAAAAAGTACCTTCATACATCTATATCTGCGCAACAATGATGGTTTTCCTATTTAAAAAGTGTTAAATTCTGTCAATTTCATC